TGTAGGATGATGTGTCCCAGGTCTTCTGTGTGGGAAGCTGTGCAGTTATCTTCTCCAGCTGCCAAAATCCAAGCACACTAGGTATTAAACATAAGGATTTGTTTGTAGGTGACCTATCCATCATTTGTGGGTTTTGTTGTTTTTTCCGCCCCCTTAGATTTTGTGGTTGATGCAACACGCAAGGGCAACAAAATTAGATTTGCAAACCATTCAGTAAATCCCAACTGCTATGCAAAAGGTAAGTAGATTTACTTGCTTTCTAGCAATGTATGAAATGTTGAGATGCTTATTTAGCATGCACATTGTATCAGTATTTGTATTAACATAAGTTTAAATTTCTTTTCTACAGTGATGATGGTTAACGGTGATCACAGAATAGGAATATTTGCTAAAAGAGCCATTCAGACTGGTGAAGAACTGTTTTTTGACTACAGGTGCGTAGATGGATTTTGTCATTTCTTTGTCATAGACTGGATTAGCTTTCAGGATCTCTGCCCAGCTCATAGTTAATTACTGTGCCTGCCTGGTCCTGGTTCTCAGCAGTTAAAAGCAGCAGCAAAGTTAGTTAAATTGCAGGTAGCTGTTGCTTCTTTAAGTCAAGTGTCATAATAAGACTGACTTGAGCAAAGCAGCAGCTATCCCCAGGTTGCTTCTTTAAGTCAGGTGTCATAATAAGACTGACTTGAGCAAAGCAGCATTGGTTAAGAGCCTGCAAACCTGGAACTGCAGCTTGTATGTAGCAAAGTTTAGTGACAAATGGGGACTGACCTGCATAACACACTTTACCCAGTAGGGTTTCCTAGGTCCCATCACTCAGCAAGAAGCATTGTGTTATTACAGAGAAGTGCTTGCTAAGAGTGTGTTCATACTTCCTTCTAAAGTCATCTCACTTGAAGAAAACTATGCTGTCCAGTGACTATACTGTTTAAATCAGCCTTGAGAAATGCAGTTGCTTTCCACTAACTAAAATGAACTTTAAAATTCCACACTTTTACTCCTTGTGTGAATTTGCTGGTGCAAAACAATGCTGAGTGCTCAAGAAACTGCTTTTAGCAGGGGCTGATAAGAGGAAACAAAACACTAGCATTGTGACACTCAAGGTGAAAGAGTCCCAGCTGGTGCAGAAACTATGGGAAATCTAAGTATGGGAGTATTGCAGGCTATAGTGCTGTTCTGTTATGTCAGAACAATGAAGCTGGAAAGTTCCATGTCACTGGTTTTTATTTGTGGTTTTATTTTTTTTAATTTCAGATATAGCCAAGCTGATGCCCTTAAGTATGTGGGCATTGAAAGAGAAATGGAAATCCCTTGACACCAGCTACCTCTTCTTTTAAACAAACAGCTGCCTTATCTTCAGGAATTTCTAGTACTGTGGGCAATTTTAGAAAAAGAAAAATGATGCAATTTGAAATTCTGTATTTGCAAAGTACTGTAACAGTAATTTATAGTAACAAATTTTAAAAAAACCCCAACTTTTTATTGCCTTCTCACCAGCTGCAAAGTGTTTTGTACCTATGAACTTTTGCAATAATGTGGTGTGGTACATTTTTCAACCTTGAATAAAAGGATACTTGAACTTCTTCATTTTTACTGGAACTGAGTTGGATTTTTGTGTCAGCCAATTGAGCAAGCAATGGGAATTTAACTTGTAACTTCTGAGCAAAGGCAACTCCTTACTTGTCCCTTTCTGTTACTTCAGGTCACATTTAAGATTAATCTGCAGACATCAACAACATAGGAGACATGAGTCTCAGGGCAATGGTGCTGCAGCATATAGCACTTAAGTAAGACAGTTGCCATCATCATGCAGTTTCTTGGTATACAGCTGCATTCCCACTCTCTAGAGTAATGGATGCAGCCTAGAAAACCCTACACTTGCTCCTACATCTAACCTCTTGTCGCAGTAACAGCTGCACTTCCTTATTTCAGTCTTTCTCTACTTGTGCCTCATCCATCATTAGCAGCAGATGCATTTATTGGGAGGGAAAAAAGGGTCCACTGCCCAAAGAAAACCCCCAGAATAGCTGAGATTTCTGTGCCAAACATTACTTTCAAGATAGATCTGTGGTACAAAGTATCCTCAGCTCTGGTTTCCCTGAAGCACCAAACTAAAAGAATGCAACAGTAATTACATATATATAAAATATTAAGAGATGTATATGTTTTAAAACAAAGTTAAATTGCAGGTAGCTGTCTGCTTGGGTCTTGTACAGGGCTACCACAGGCTTTTCTTATGGGCCAGTAGAGAGTGAACTCTGCAGCCTATTGCACAGTGCTCCAGGCAAAGCAGCTGGAGTGGGAGGACAGGCAGAGGGATCCAGTGCTTGCAAAACTGATTTCAAGAACTCCTGTCCCTTTTGTGCTGAGGGGACTCCAACCTGGGGCTGTGTGTTCAGCACTGCTGCTTCTACTCTCAGGTACAGCAGGCAGTGCTGCTATACCTGCCCTCCTGCTCTGTGGTGTGCCAAGTAAGAATTAAGAATTCACACCTCATCTTCCTCTTGAGAGGACGTTTTTACTTCTGGACTTTTTTTTTTCCCTTCCCTGCTTGGTTAGAGCATGGCTCTTTGCTGAAGCTGAATGGACAGAGCAGCACTGTATTGCATACACAAAGCAGCACTGCTATAACCAGCCCTGGGATAAGGCTTGGCTTTTTAAGAGGCAGCTCAGAGCCTTTTCTGATCTTCTACCTAAAAACACAGTTCAGGTTGTTTCTGTCATCATACCACTCTTATATCCTGCTACAAAAATCTATTGGCCCTGAACTTTCTGCTAGGAAAGTTTTATAAAACCAAAGCAGCATCTTAATACTAATGCTAATACTTTAAAAAAGAGCCATCACAGTTAAGCAGCACAAGCTCCACTCTTGTAAATTTCCAAAAGCAATTTTGAAACTAAACAGCAAGATGCTTCTATGCAAGATACCATATTGGCAGTCATTAGTGCAATTAAAGTTCTTTCAGAACAGGAATAGCAAGCATGCAAAATCTCAACTATGGATGAACCTACCCCCCCATTTTCCCCATCTGTCTGGATCACATCTAATAGTGCTCCATAATTATTTTTTTAAAACTTAAAACATTTTTGGAGGTCAGAGTTCAACTGTAACCAGGACAAATTAAGTTTCCCTCAAGAGAAGAACATCAGCAACACAAAACCTGGCTTCCCTTTCTTCCTGTGACAAGAAAGGCTGAACAAACCACACATTCTAGAGGGAAAAAAGGATTTGGCTACAGAAATAAAGTTCTTTTCACCATCAGGATTAGAAGATATAAATTACCAAAACTGAAGCCTGGGAGGTTGGGAGCATTTTGCTTGTAGATTAGAAGATATAAATTATCAAAACTGAAACCTGGGAGGTTGGGAGCATTTTGCTTGTAGCATGTGGAAAGCTAATACTCATTTCATAAAATGTTGTGAGAAGAATGGAATGAGGTTAATATGTATAATGATACTCAAAAGTATTCTAATTCCCATCACAGGTTGCATTTAATGGGAATTAATCTTTAGGAACACACTCCCTTTTCTGTTCTAGTCAAAAAAATGAGCAACCTAAACCTCATTTATTCTGGGTAGCATTTAAGCAAGTGTGATGCATTTTCTAGCACAATGAGCAATATTAAAAACAGCTCCAATTTAGGATGACCAAGTATCACTACATATATTCTAAGCATTTTCTATTCTGCATTACCTTGTGAAATCATCACAACTTCCTTTTCCAAGCACAGGCATTTCCTTTTAAAAGAGAAATAAGATGACAGAGAACAAAATGTGCTTAAATCACCAGAAAATGGGGAGCAAAAGCAAAACGAGTTTCTGTAGCTTTCATAACCATTATATCTTTTATTTACATTTAGAAAGATAATTCATGAATCTTGAAACAATAAAACCAAATGCAACTTGTACAGAAATCTTTTAATTTTTTTTTATTTATCACACATTAAAAAATGAAACACACTATACAAATGGTTAATCATAGCAGATTACACATGGGTCCATTCAGACTCGCTCTCCAAGTGCTGCCAACATGTATAAGTACTGCCTGTGATGGCAGCTGTTTATCATATAGCCAATGTATTGATTTAAATGCAGTAGCATGCAACCCTTAAAGGAGAAGGGTTTGATTCCTTTCTGTTCTTAAATTAGGTTAAATGGCATTGGTGTCCATATTTACATACTTGAAATGTATCAATCCTGAGCAGTTCTGATGTAAATCTGAGACTGGCTGATGGGAGTCCTGGTCTCAGGTATTAAAAAGGGAGGTCCAAATGGCAGCAGAGTGGCTGCTATGAAGTTCCGTCGCTTTCATTCTTTCCATCACATACCTATTTGCTGAGTGTCACACAGTCAAGTAATTGCTAATAAAAATGTTAAGCCAAGTAACTGTAGGTGTCCTTCTCACCATCTACACGTTCCAAGTACTCCTTCTCAATGAGAATGTCGATGCATTTCTGCGGGAGGAACAGAGGTAAGCAGTGGGACACTGGCAGAAAAGCCAGTGGTTGCTACAAACTCGGGATGATTTTGGCCCTCAAGGGGATGGGAGCAGACAAAGGGCACAAACCGTGGCAGTTGGCTCTCCTGTTTCTGACCACATCCAAGCAGAGGACTTTGCTAATCCACTAAACTCAATTACACTTACTCGGTGCCATTCCAGGGAAGTGACAGGGAGATCAACCCATCATCAGTGTGCTGAGCAACTTCATAGTAAGACAGCAAATAAAGAGTTAAACCAAGATGCAGAGTGCTTACTGTCACTAAAGACAGGAGCTGCAGTCAGGAGCTGCCTGTGTCACTGCCTGACCAGCTCCAGCTCAGAGCTGGTGCCAGTTTATACAACTACTCTACTGCCTGTTCTTTGCCCCAACTATCACCTTGGCTGTGTATATAAACACCACAGGTGAGCCCACTTAAATAAACTGATGAAGAAGTTAGTATACCTTAATTAATAGAATCAACATAATAAGTAATTAAATACAATGTCTCTCTCCCCAACATTTTTATTCTAAAAGAGATCAAGAAACTGTTTTATTGAGCCATCCCAGAGGCTGGCTGTACTCCTACAACTGGGAGAGCAGGAACAAAAGGTAAGCCTGGAGCAAAAGCTCCAGTAAGCTGGCACTGAAGTGAAAAGATGCAATCAAGCTACTATTTTACCACTGCCAACAATGCAAAACATGCACATTGCCATAAGGGAAATGCAGTATTTGTGCTTCAAATATTTCCTACTTAGAACTCAAAAAATCTGTCCTTATCCATCCCATCTCCTTAGCTTTTCTTTTTAATTCAGGAGCATGTGCTTTGTCTCTATATACATGCCCTCACCTTCTGGAATAGAGGTTGAGAGATGTGGTTCTCACATACCTTAATTACTGGAACTCGTGGCTTGAACCTTGAGGACAGCTGTGTTAGCACTTCTCCAAGCAGTTGCTGGTGTTTTAGAACCTTCCTCATTTTCATGATTCTCACAATAGCAGCCTGCAGAGAAAGTCAGAAAGGTGTGCATAGGACCAAACTACCTGTCCTCTTGGATAAAGCCATTTCAATTCCTGAGCAGATCATATCTGCTAGCACAGAAGCACTGTCATAAACTCGAGTACCAGACAGGAGAAGCCTGCCCACAAATGTCAGCTGCTTACACAAAATTTAAGAACTCAGAGCACACAGTCACCAGAAGTGGCTTCGACACATGAATTTTAAGAACTGTGTGTACGGTCAGTCAGTCATGACAGCACCAACTGGTACCAAGAGCAACACAAAACTACTTGTGTAACAAACAGCCTTCTTTCTATATTAACCTTACTGTGATGCTCTCTCAGTAGTACTTCTGTATTTCCTTCCCCTGCTTCTTTGCTTCTCAAGTGGATTGTGAATGAACTAATACAAAATCACTGTTAATTTCATACTGGGTATTACTAGTTTTCAGCCAGGACAAGGTCTGGTGAGTGTGTGCATCCATAGAACCCAAACACTCATCCAGATCAGGTTAGAACAAGTGTGAACAACATGTTTATCTGTAGAGAAGCTTTTCTCCATTTTCTATTAGACTTCAGTTACCTTTAAGAGCATTTTAAACACAATTTTTATTGGAAGACAACATGCCATTGCAGTGTACTGTGTTGGGAGTTAAAAATAAGAAAACCCCACAGTAAGCTTCATTAAAGGATTACAAAGCTGTGACTCTGAATTCATGGCAGCATTCTGCAGTACAACTCACCTGAATCAGTAGTTTCCTATCTTCCTCTATATTTTTGTGTGTAGTTTCTTGCTCCTGCTTCTGTTCAGTCTTCATTGGCACATTGATGTTTACCCTTAATTTTTTGCTGTAAAGAAAAGTAAAAGTTAATCAAACAATTAGCCTGTTTAAAAACCAACCAAAGAAACAAAGAACAAACCGTGAACAATACCCAACTCCAAAATAAAACCCACACTACTGCAATTGCTTTACAACAAAGGACTTTGGGTCTTCTGAAAACTTTAGACAATCTTATTCAAGTTTAAAAAAAGTAATAAAAATTTGAAAAAACAACCTGCAACCAACCAAGAAACCAAAATACCTTTTTGGTGGTTGTGTATTTCATGACTTAGAGAATCCAACCTAGTGATCTGTTAGGTCTAACTTAGCACTGTATGATTACACTGTATTTGAAACATTTTTATGTTTAGTAAGAAGCTTCAAGTCAGTGAATGGGACAAAGGAAGCCAGTGGAAATAGAATGACCTGATTTACAGACTGGATTCTGTAAAGTGGAGAAATCCATTTGGTCTGTAAAACTGAATTTTGCCTTCCTTTCACACCTCCCCAGTGCTGATACCTGTGCTGAGGTGAGCCCACTACCACACGTGACCACTCTGAAGACAAAGTGCTGTGTTACAAGTGGGGAACAAACCTCAGTAAGAGCATCAATGTGCTCGGGGCTCTGCTCTGCCTGTTGGCTGCACTGGAGAGGGATCTGCTATTTATTTAACACAGTGTTGTGTGTCATAAAGTGAGAATCAGAGAGCTGCATAATTCAGCAACACTGAGCTCTTTCCATCACTGCATTAACATAACTGACCACAAATTCTCAAACCGTTAATTTTTTTGGTAAAGGGGGATAGAAAGAAGATAAAGAGAGAAATACAAGGAAAGGTTTTAAAATGTTTCTTTCACTTGAGATCTTATCTTCAGAAAGCACTGAACTCCTCACTGAATTTGTGCATGTTTACATCTATGCTCTGGTATGCATGATAAAAAGTGACTACAGTACTGTAAACAGCTTAAATTCACAACTGTTGAAAGGAACACTGGTTAAAGTAGGTAATAAAACCTACTGAAAGTCCTGTTTACTAAGTTTTCAAATCACTGTACACTCTGAGGTTCTAAAACCAGCCTGATCTTTTCATGTTAGCTCTAGTGAATGAACATTTATGACTTTGACCTTTGCTGGTCACTGTACAGTACTGTAACCTTATGAAATACCATGTGTTTTGCCAAGTGCACCTCAGTAAAAACCAGCACCATTTCTTACACAAAATAAATTATACAAGAATTAGCCATGAATCGAGGAACAAAAAGGATATAGGAAAATATGTCCAGGCCTTGACAGACTTTATGACAAAGTCAAAGTCAGACAGTTGTAATCTTACCCATCCCCCCAACTTGCCAGCCCTCTCCCTTAAAGTTGGTACACATTGGATCTTTACTTGAATTGGCACTTGAACCCTGAGGATTTCATCCCAGGTATACTATATTTTACCCAGATTTTGAAAGCAGAGGAGGATGCTACCCATTATACATATGTGATGCATGCTGTTTGTTTTTCCTTACTTTTTGTAACCAAGGTACAGTTTTATTAAAGTATCTGGTTTCAACTCCACTTCATCAACATTTGCATTTTCATCTTCCAAAACCTGCAAATAAACAAACAAATAAATAAATAGTCAGTAATACATTTTGCTGTATGTTAAGTAGGTTATAAAAAAGCAAGAGTACTTACAAGCAATTTTGATTTCAACAGTATCTGTAGAACTTGTGCCAAGATATCCTAAAAAATTACAGAAAATATTATCAGGCAGATAGACAGAACCTCTCTCAGCTTAAAAACTTGAACAAAAATGCACAGATTTAAATTAAGAACTAGTGAGTGCAGAACACTGCAAAATGAGGGGAAGCAAAGCAGTAAAAATGCCGTTCACAGGAATAAAATGTAGTAAGGCCCTTTTCAGGTGTTATGACATATTCTTCTTGCATTGGTCAAATAACAGAATTCTTAAGAAAGGCTAATTCCAAACAACAGACCTTTCCAGCTGCTGTTTTAGGAACTATTTTGCTAGCAGATTTATAAGCTAAGAAATAATTTTTCTCAATCCATGCAAATATATATAGCATGGCGAGCTCAAACTTCAGAAAGCAAGCACTGCTTTCTGATTAACAGCTTTCTCCTTTCTTGCTTGTACTAGGAATCTGTTCTGGTTGCTGTTGCTGGTTGGTCACCCAGATAGCTCCACTACTGATAATGTTCTGTGCAGGCTTGCAAAGCTGCTATTTTACCACATAAGAAATCTTCTGGGATCCACGCAGTTAGTTTTCAGCTGTATAAAGTGTTTTACTCTGGTCCAACTATAACTTGGGCTAAATACTTATTTTACATAAATATATATATACCTCTGCAAACAAGTACCTATAACAAAGGGCAACCCCCTAAGACTTCTGAGTATGCTGTAAAACCACCAGCAGCAGTAACTTCCTAGATATACATTTCTAGAAGATCTCACTGACTAGGAATACCCTAACTTTCCACAAGTTTGAGCAGACTTGATTCAAACCTACTACTAAAGGTCACAGATGCCAAATAAACTGTGGACCATAAAGTCTACTTGGAAAGAAAAGGAGGGAACCTTTTCCACAGGAGAGACTTAGCCAATGAAAGTGCAGCTTCTACTATGTTCGTGTACAAAAGCCTCGATATGTGAAAGAATGACAGATGCTCCCATCAGTCATTTAGGAAAAATACTGGTTTTGCTAGAATGTTGCCTTTTAACATTAAAATGTATGTAGTGAAACACTGAAAACTGCCAGCAGGAAGCTAGACAATTCACTCCAGTCATGAACAGAGTACACATGCACTAAGATTCATGAGAAGACCAGGCAGTTATGTTACAGAAAAGTAAACCAGGAAAGAAAGTTAATCAAGAATAGAGCGCATCAGTCTCCTTCAGGACAGAAACCAACTCTGGCTTCAACCATGTGTAATCACAATTTCTTAAAAGTGCCCTGAAGACCATAAGATTTGTTCACAAGAGTGTGGCAAAATGTGCAAAGTCACTACCATTTTTATTTGAGTACTGTCTGTCAGCTGCTGCACGGTATAGGCATCTTCTGTGTTGTACTGCAGTAAAATCGCCATCTGGAATGTGGATGCCTAACAGATTCAAAAAAAGGAGAATGGAGAGGGGGAAGTTAGAAAATGAGAACGAACAAACACACTTTCTGGATTTGAACAGCCTGAAATTCACCAGTTAAACACATATACTGGAATGTTTGGGCAATGGATAATACCCAACTAATCTTTGCACAATACAGAAAATCTAATGTTGCTTATACACCCAGAACTCCACCTTCCAGCATTAACTAAACATAACCTTCAGGATTATGATTATTTAACTAGCTGCAGACAGGTCATCAAATCTTCTATTATGGTGTTCAAAACATTATCCTTCTACTTGTTAATACAGTTTTGTTTTTCTCTGTCACTCCCTGACTCTTACCTGTTTAATCTTCATTAAAACCTACACAGACTACTGAACTCATCCTCACAACCCTTCAACTCTAGCAGAATAACAAAACCTAATTTATAAACAAGGCAGCCAGTGGCTTATTAACATCTATCACCACAGGGTTAACATATATTGATGACAAAGTAAGGTCTGATATTATCTTGTTTCTTCTCACTGTTGTAAACTCCCTTTCTTTGTCTCCTTTTTGAGAGAAAGCAGACAGCAAAATATAAGCAGCATGAGATCTTATGCAAAGTGGTTGTAGTTGTCTCACCCAATGCAGTTCAACACCTGTTTAAACCACAAGCCATGTATTCCCTTTTCAATTTTCTTTTAAACACAGATCTTAAGTATCAGTACAGTAAATAAAACAAACATACAATAAAGGTTCTATCAGCTGCATCCAGTCCCCTGAATGCAATCAACACTAAGTGTTTCCACTGGCATGACACTGTCCTTACCTGTAATGTGTATCTGTTTTTGAAACAATTGGTAACCAATTCCCCTTTGGACAGCTGATACAACCATGTTAATTTTCTTCCACTATGGCGACTGGCGTAAAATGCAGTAAATCGCTGATAGCTCCGTTCTAACTGTATAGAAACAACAATAATAAAGAATTAAATAATATTATCTTCACTGACTATTACTGGGACATGCTATGGAACCAACAATGGAGCATCAAATCTGATCACCTTCAACTGCTATGTTGTCTGAATAACACAAACAGAAATCCCAAGTGTTCAAATTCTGCAGACCAGATGAAAATTTCCCTCTGTTCTGAGTTTCCCCTTTGATGTGTCATTAATAATACAAATATAAACAAGTATTTAAGTTTCATTGGTAGAAAAAGCAATTTGGTTTAGCCACCTTCATTCTCTAGGTAAAGGCACTAAACTTGCTTATCATGTTAAGTATTCATGTCTTCTCTATCTTGAATAAGCACTAAACAGAAACTTAATTATTGTAATATCCAAAGGTTTTACTGGGCAGAGCTGAAGCAATGGTAAGAAAAAGTTTCTTAAATTAATCACATCCAGAAAAATACACTAACAAAAATTTGCTTTAGTCACTGCTGAATATTTTGAAGAGAGATCCATTAAACAGAGTTTTTCCATGGGAGAAATCACATTTGTCACACAGCTCCCTCCTACTACCTTACTCAATTATCTTGTTCCAAATATCCTCAGGCCAAACAGGCAAATACTAGACACACTTCCAGTCTTCTCTGACACACAACAAACCAGGAGTCATCAGCCCAATAAACAAATTTCTCCAATGATCATTCCACGTTTGGATGAACCAAGTACAGATGCCTCACCTCAGATGGCAGAGCAAACGTGCAGGACTGCTGGAACGGCCAGGATCCAGAACTCAGCACCTGGATGCTGAAATCCACTGCAAGAGAGGTGAAGAGGCTGAGCTGCATTATCCCCCTTGCTTCTACCCACTCTTCAAACACAGTCCCAGTTCTAATACAAGTAAGAAATGCTTCTGCCTTTTGGTCAAACTAACATGGTGAAAAATCATTAAGAAATTTTTTTTTCCCAGGCCATAAACAAATCTATTCATAAAAGATGTCACTGCAGTTGAAGAGCTTTAGATATACTGTGACAGACACTCAAACTTCTCTCATTTGGGGAAGCTATTATCCTGTTTCTATCCTAACAATAGACTTCCCTTTTAACATGCAAGTGTAAAAATCCTGAGTGCTCAACATCAGTCCACAGTACGCAACTGCAAACACAGACCTCTTACATTTATACTTGTAAGGCATTTTGGGCAAGTCAAGTAAAAATAATATAAAAAACTAAGTAAAATTTAAACCTGACAATACACAACTCTAACTGTAATCCAACAAACAATTATCAATTCCTTAGAGAATTTGTTTCAATGCTCTTTAATGAAAAAACATACATACAAAAAAAGTAATAGGGTCATCTAACAACCTGGAACACAATATAGGTTTTTCCTTAATATGTTCACACAAGTGTGAATCTCTGCCATGTTGTGCTCAAAATCAAATCTGTTTATAGAAAAATACACCTCTAATCAAAAAATACCAAAAACCAGCACACCACAAAAAACCCTAACAAACATACCAAAAAAACCACACAAAAAAAAGACAGGATTCAACTTTATTCAGAAGAACTGGCTGGATGGCCCAGAGACTGGTGGTGAATGGTGCCACATCCAGTTGGTGGCTGGTCACTAGTGGTGTTCCCCAGGGGTCAGTGCTGGGCCCAGTTCTGTTTAATATCATTATTGATGATTTAGATGAGGGCACCATCAGCACCATCAGCAAATTTGCAGATGAC